TACTTAAGGGAAGTGACAACAAAGGAAGGCCCACATAAAGACATACTTGAGCAATCATCACAGCATCAGTCATAAGAGCTTCAAACCGGAAGAAAATCCAAATGTACATCAGCTATTGAAGGGATAAGTAAAATGTGGTAGAGCCACACAGCTGAGTGCTATTTGACAATAAAAAGGACTGAGCTTCTGATGGATGCTGTGTCACAGATGAACTTCAGATTATGCTAACATGAAAGAAATCACATCCAAGAGGTTGCCTATTAGGTGATCCCATTTTATATATAATATCACAAAAGGGAAATTCAGAGATACAAAAAGTGCTCAGTATTTATTAAGGCTTGGTGTAGGAATGATAATTAATTGCAAATAAACCTTAGAAACCTTTTTTTCTAGATGTCAGAAATGTCCTGAAACCGATGGTGGTAATGGTTGTACAGCCGTGAATTGGTGAAAATCCTGGTCTTGTGCATTTAATGTGGTATATGAATAATAGTGAAACTGTTTCTACAAAAACAGTATTTCATCATCTTTAGTTATTTCAATGCACCAAAACAAGTGTAGTAGTTTGAACTGTTAAGGAAACTTCTTAGATGTCAGATCAAGACAGTCCAAGTTCTGAAGTATGGCTTCCTTTCAAGAGGAAATTAATCCAGAAAGAAGAGAGCTGAAACTCAAGCTTATTCCTTTTTCTTAAAGTGACCTTGCTCTGACCTGCATATAATTATTTTAATACATCACTGGAGCTGTTGGAGAGTGAAGAAGACCTCCTCCTCACAACAGGGCCACAGATGGCAGCAACCATCTGTAATCTGTATAACTTAGCAAGCTTCGATTTTGCTGAACGCCACGCTGAGTACCTTTCCTCTCAGGCACTCTTTTGGGTGCCCGCCTTCTCTGTCCCTTCCCTCTCATTTGTCCATTGAAATCCCCAAGAAAATGGCCTATGGGTGTCTTAATTGAGAATAGAGCACCTAGTGAGACAGCTCTTGTCCTGATCCAAGTACAGCACAGCTAGCCAGCCTGCTACGTGGCTGCATTTGTGCTGTCTTGCTCTAATATTTGTGATTCTTTCAAGTATTATGACTTGATATCAGGTTATGTCTTGCATAAGATGCATCAATGGTAATACATATAAGCCCAAAGGTTATAGTCGATTATTTAACTTAAACAAATTTGGTGTTTTTCCTACAGACCTTCTCAAAGACTTCAATATGCTCTTATACATAATAATGGGTAGTATATACTGTATAGCATTTCTCAAACTCACAAGACCATAGAAACCTGTTTAAATGGATATTAGTGTTCCATACAGCCCATGTGAAGAATCCTACTTTAGATCGTTTAGACTTGTGTATGAATGGGATGATAATATGGGAAATGTCTAGGGAAGAGAAATATGTTCCCAGGACAGTGTTTATAAAAGGGTGCTTCAAATAGTTGGTGGGAAATGGGAGTAAAAGTTATTTTTGTGCAAACAGTTTGAAATCTATACATAGTTTTTTCATAATATGCATTTTCCATCAACTTGTTGGAGACCCCCTACTCATATATCTGTTAAATTTGACAGGTTATATGTTCATGTCATCAAGGCTATATTATCAAAGTGCAGCATGAACTCATGAGAACAATATTAAATCTCAGAGCATAAAGAGTCTTGGAAGAATTTAGAGGATGATTTTAAATTGTTTTTTACCATTGTTTTGGTAGGAGATCTAATCTGAGAATTGACTTATTTAGTTGATATAATTAATCTTAATAGAAAGCTGATATACTACAAATGTACTATTTAGTTTGACCTGATGTGTCTCAAACTGAGTTTTGTAGCATGTGCTACATCAGCTTTTTGTTGATGAATAACATACTCTTATGTATGGAAAAGTTTGCTTACAACAAGGACAGAACTCAGTGACTGCCACAAAATGGAACTGCCCCTGCATTTACCACCAAGGTGAAGAGCACCTCAAACGCTCCCCCAGGCCCACTTCACAGATACCACCCACCCTGCTATGCAAAGATAACCAGTATCTCAGTTTCTAATAAGGGGTATTAATCAGGCCTGGTCTTGTACTTTTTTGTAGATGGAATCACAGTGTGCATACTATTTTATATCTGGCCTTATAAAATTAATCTGTTCTGAAAATTTTCATTAATGTGTCTACTTTTAAGTGGTAAAGGGTAATATTTCAGCATGTTTATGCAGCATAAAACAATCATACCAGACAGTTCGCCTCTCCATTTCCCTTATCTTTTCTTTGGAGACTACCAACTCCTCTGTTCTAGTTCTTTATACAGAATATAATACTTTATTGTGAGCTATACTCAGCTGACTGTGCTGCAAAACACAGAACCCATTATATATACCCAGTTGCATTTGCATTTGATGCCCACCGTCCAACCACCCCCACTCCCCAGGCCCTATTCTACAGCCTCTCGTAAACAGTATTTTAAATTCAGGTCATTACATGTATACATTACATATTAATAGTATGTAGGTGTATGTAGTATACATATATGTATTAAATATATATGTATTTTTTAACTAGCACAAATACATACAGTATTTGTCTCTTACTAATTTTTTAAAAGATTTATTTATTTTTTTGAAAGAGTTACAGGTTGAGAGGTAGAGACAGAGAGAGAGATCTTCAATCGCTGTTTCACTCCTTAAATGCTGACAACAGCTGGGACTGGGCCAGGGCAAAGCCAGGAACCAGGAGCTTCTTCCAGGTCTCCCCCATGGGCAGCAGGGGCTCAAGCACTTGAGCTGTCGTCCACTGCTTTCCCAGGTGGATTACAGGGAGCTGGACTGGAAGTGAACCAGCTAGGTCTTAAATGGGACGCCAGCAGTACAGGTGGCGGCTCTCCCCTTACGCCATAAACCCGGCCTCTTTCATCCATCAGTGGACACCTAGGTTTATTCTTTACCTTGGTTATTGTGAATAGTGTTGCAGTAAACATGGGACTGCAGGCATCTCTTTCATAGATTGATTTCATTTCCTATGAGTAGATGTATAGCTTGGTCATATGGTTGATCTATTTTTAGTATTGTGAGAGACCTCCACACTGTTCTTCATGACAATAGTGATTCATGCTCAACACCAAAATTGTAGAAGCCTCATACATTTCCTTTTTTCCACATCCTGGCCACCATTTGATTTTTTTTTTTTTTTTGTCTTTTTGATATTAACCATTCTAATTATAGTGAGATGATACTTCACTGTGTTTCTTTATTTCTGTATTGGTTTTTATTGATTTTAATTTTACTTAAACAGGAGAAAGACACAGGAAGATGAAGGGGATGGGGGAGGGAGAGAAAGAAAGAGAAAAAATGTCTTCAGCTCACTCAGTCACTTTCCAAATGTCTGCAAACTGGGCCAGGCCAAGGCTAGAAGCCTGGAACTCAATCCGTGTCTGCCACGAGGGTGTCCAGAATGCAGTGCCTGAACCCTCATCTGCTACCTCCCCGAGTGCTCGTTAAGAGAAAGCTGGAATCAGAAGTGGAGCCCGGATTTAGGCACAGGCACACTCTGATACGAGATGACGTTTTCCCTAGCAGTATCTCCGTCACTACACTAAATGCTTCCCTCCTCATTACTGGCATTTTCCTTGGCACGTGATATTGAACATTTTTGCGTGTGTGTTGATTAGCCATTTGTATTTCTTTCAGAAATGTTTGGTCAAATCTTTTGCCCAATTCTTTACTCTACTGGTAGTTATTTTGTTGGTGAGCATTGTGACTTTATTATATATTCAGGATATTAATCCTTTTTCAGATGAATTATGAATTCAAATGAGTTATCTATGCAATTGTAAATATTTTATGTCTCCTTCAATTTCTTTCTTTGCAGTTTTATAATTTTCACTTTAGGCATCTTTCAAATTCTTAAAGTCATCCCAACATATTTTATTATTTTTATATCTATTGTGAATTGATTGCTTTTAAAATTTTTTTCCCAATAGGTTTGTTATACATTTAGACAAATATTACCATTTTGTGTATTGACTTTGAGTCCTATAACTCTACTGAATTTATTTATCAGTTATAATGGTCTCTTGGCGGAATCAACAGGTTTCTCTGTATATACAATAATGTCATCTGTAAACAGGGATAATTTGACATTCCTATTTGTATCCCTTTTGTTTCACTTGATAATGGCTCTCGGTGAAACTTCTAGAACTATATCGAATAAGAGCAGAAAGAGTGGACATCCTCAGGTGATTCCAGATCTTTAAGGAAATGCTTTCGGCTTTTCCCCGTCACAGGTGATGTTGGCTGTGTGTTATTTGTACATACCCTTTACTATATTGAGATATGCTACTTTTATCCTTAATTCATTGAAAGTGTATGCCATGATGAGTGTTGACTTTTGTCAGATGCTCCTTGTGTTCCCATAGAGATGATCCAATGGTTTCTGTCCTCCATTCTGTTGATGTGATATATTATGTTTATGCATTTGTTGATCCATCACTAGGCTGACCCACCCTTGGTCAGAGCAGATGATCTTGGTGAGTTGCTCCATTTGATGTGTCAGTGTTTTGTGTCTATGTTCATCAGGGATATTTGTCTACAGTTTTCTTTTTCTGCTGTGTCCTAGCCTTCTCTGGGGATGAAGGTCAATGCTGGCCTCATAAAAACAGTGTAGAAAGATCCCTTCCTTTCCATTTTTTACAAATAGTTTGAGAATACTTGGTGTTGATTCTTCCTTTGAAGTCTGGTAGATTTTGACATTGAAGAACTAAGCTTTTCTTTTTGGAAAAGATTTGATTACTGATTCAGTCTCATTCCTCATTATTGATCTGCTCAGGTTAAATGTGTCTCATGGCTCATTTTGGTAATGAACGTGTATCTAGAAATTCATCCATTTGTTCTAGATGATAATTTGTTGACATGTAATTGTGTTTTGTTTTGTTTTGTTTTGTTTTAGCAAGGCAGGGCTGTCCTGGGCCAGTGCAGACCGGGATTTAATATGGGACATGTGGGACTCGCAGTCACACTCCCCCTACCCCCGAGGCACAGCCTGGTTAGCTCCTGAATCCAAGATGCCCTCGATGTAGCCGATGAGGCCACTCTTCGCCTTCTGCTCCAGCTTGTCCTCCAGGGGAAGGAAGGCCACGTGGCTGAGGGCCAGGTCAAAGAACAAAGGCTTACAGGGGGTGGGCTGGAAGGCCGGCGGGAAGTGCACGAGGCTGGCTTGCTTGGTGACAAGGGAAGGGTCCAGGCAGAATGTCTCAAACCGTTCAACCAGAAGCTTATTGTCTTTCACGTATGAAGCTGTCTCTGCGTGGTGGTTGTCATTTGCAGCCAAGATGGCTGCGGCCTGCAGGGAGCACGTCTCCGAGCGCACTTGCGTGATGAGCTCTTGCACGTCGGGCAGGTGCTTCAGGCTGTCCTTGAAGGCTCCTGCATCAGCGTGGACCTCGTCTGCGTATTTCAAGACTGGATCGTACAGGACCAGGGCTTCACTCCACTTCTTCACCAGCACATAGGACTGAGCGATGAAAAGCACCTGTAAGCCTTGAACACAGGGTTTTGAGGCCTATCTCTTTCTGGAAAGCTCTGCCCTCTTCTTTTTTTTTTTTTTTTTTTTTTTTTGACAGGCAGAGTGGACAGTGAGAGAGAGAGACAGAGAGAAAGGTCTTCCTTTTGCCATTGGTTCACCTTCCAACAGCCGCCGCGGCCGGTGCACACTGCGCTGATCCGATGGCAGGAGCCAGGTGCTTCTCCTGGTCTCCCATGGGGTGCAGGGCCCAAGCACTTGGGCCATCCTCCACTGCACTCCCTGGCCACAGCAGAGAGCTGGCCTGGAAGAGGGGCAACCGGGACAGAATCCGGTGCCCCGACCGGGACTAGAACCCGGTGTGCCGGCGCCGCAAGGCGGAGGATTAGCCTAGTGAGCCGCGGCACCGGCTCTCTGTCCTCTTCTAAGCCAGGAAACTGGAGCAATTCCTCCAAGTTCTGGAGAATGATGTCATAGAGCCGGATCAGGTCCTGGGGCCACGGGGAGCGCTTGCTTTCGTCTTCGGGCTGCTGCTGCAGCAGGGCCCTCTGCAAACCTTTGGCCATGTTCTCATTCCGCCGGATGGCCATTGACAGCTTGATGTAGGTCAGGTAACTGTGCAGGTACTGAAGATTAGAAACCTTTCCTGACTAATAGGCCCTAATGATACCTTGTATTTCTGCAGGATCAATTGTGATATGTCATTTTTCATCTCTGATTTTATTTATCCTAGTCTTCCATGTTTTCTTCTTAGTCTGGCTAATGCTTTATCAATTTTGTTTATTTTTTCAAAGAAGCAAATTCATTTCATTGATATATTTTATTGCTATGTTAGTTTCTTTGTCATTTATTTGTGTTCTTATTTCTTTTTTTTTTTTTAAGATTTTATTTGTTTATTTGAGAGGTAGAGTTACAGACAGTGAGAGGGAGAGACAGAGAGAAAGGTCTTCCATCCATTGATTCAGTGCCCAAATGGCTGCAACGACCAGAGCCACACTGATCGGAAGCCAGGAGCCGGAAGCTTCTTCCGGGTCTCTCACATGGGTGCAGAGGCCCAGGGATTTGGGCCATCTTCTACTGCTTTGTCAGGCCACAGCAGAGAGCTGGATTGGAAGAGGAGCAGCCAGGACTTGAACTGGCACCCATATGTGATGCTGGCACCACAGGCAGAGTATTAACCTACTGTGCCATGGCGCTAGCCCCTATGTTCTTATTTTTTAAAGAAAAGATTTATTTGTTACTTGAAAGACAGACAGAGAGAGAGAGAGAAGTTGATTCTGTTTACTGGCTCACTCCCTAAGTGGCCACAACAGCCAGGAGTGTTCCAGGCAGAAGCCAGGAGCTAAGAACAACACCCAGATCTTCCACAGGGGTAAAAGGGGCCCAAGTACTTGATCCACCTTCTACTGGTTTCCAAGGCACAATAGCAGGGAGCTGGGTTGGAAGTGGAGCAGCTAACACTGCTGGCATCACAGGCAGCAGTTTAACTTTCTGCATCAGAGCACCAGTTCCAACATACTTACCTTTTTTTCATACTTATCTTAATACTCTATAAAGTTTCATTTTGCACTGCTTCTGGAATAGATTTTATTATTTATTTTTTGTTTGTATTTATTTATGTTGTTATTATTTACATTAAAGAAGTCAAATTGTGCTACCAAGTCAGTATGATGCTCATACTGTAACATGATCTTAGGTCATGAGCTCCAAGGGCCCAGGATGACCTTGAAGTGCGGGTGTTATTGAATGTTTATGCCTAAGAAATGCAAAAGGTCATGTACTCTTTTTTGATTCACTGTACTAAAACTAACTTAAGAATGGGTGAATGTTGTATCAGTCTGTCCTAGGAAAGCCAAGTTTTCTCTTTTCTCTGTGTTTGCAGCAGAGATTTCCACCACAAATAGCACATCTGGTCCCTTGAGCCAATTCATCAACATCACCTGTAAGCCTTGTTTAAGATCAAAAGGACGGACAGGGTTACCACTGATGAGGTTCTGGAACTGGGCCAGCCCACCAGCAGTGATGTGATATTCATGCAGCCTAACTCCGAGGGCCTGGGGATGTGTGAAGGATGGGTATCAGCAGGCTCGCTAGCCAGATTCGGAGTGCATGATGTGCAAAAGAGAACACTGGCAAGTAACATGGCCAGAGGACATGCTCAACATGAGGCCCTGCATGCCAAATGCAGCCTTGTGCTAAAACTCAGGAATGCAGAGGAATTGTAAACTCAGTAACAGGATGTTATGAGGAAAGAAATACGAAATATGCATCGGAGGGGGGGCAACAAAAAGAAAGAACTTAAGGTAATACTTATCACAGGCTTCCCAAGTTCTGGTAACTACCACATTATTTTTTAGTTTAAATGAATAACCAGAATCAAATAAAAAGTGCCCCATTGATCCTTACAGTAAATTAAGCTGCATATTTTCTTTGTCCTTTTGTGCCATCGGTATTTTAATAGTATGAATACATTTAGGCAGGCATCGGCTCCCCAGTTTTGTGTAATCCTCAGCTCTCCCTGTTATCTCGGGCCTGGACCACCTCATTCATTGATAGCCCTTACATAACTTCTGAAAGGTTATGCCTATGTGACCCCTGGGACAAGATGTTGCTACTGATGACAGTGGCTGTTACTACTAGCAGTGTTATTGTCCAGTAGCTGTGGGAGTTTGGTTCCAGCAGTCCCTGGGGATACCAGAGTTCATATATGCTCAAGTTCCTGAAATGATATTGCATAGTATTGGAGCATAAACTCTGCATCCCACATGCAATCAGCCCTCCGTGTTGCCAGTTCCACATCTGCAGACTTAACCAACCCCAGGCTGAAGATACTTGGAAACAGTGCTGCGTCTATACTAAGCATGTGTAGTCATTAGTCTTTTTTTCTGATCATTATTCCCTAAATGATAGAGTGTATCAACTAGCTACATAGCATTTATTTTTACTAGGTGTTGTAAGTAATGTAGAGATGAGTTTTAAAAATACAGTAGAATGTGCATATGCAAATACCATACCACCTTACACTGGAGGCTTAAACAGGCTTGGATTTTGGTAAATGCAAACCACTGTTCCAGGGATACCAAGGGATGACTGTGCTTTACATTATCTCTGGATTACTTAATCCCTAATATGAGGTATCTTCACAAAGTTTACAGAAAATGTATACTGTGAAAGTCTGCATGGGTTTCAATTTTTGGCAGCAAAAGAAACTTTTTTTGTTAAGGTTTTTATTTAATGAATACAAATTTCATATGTACAGCTTTTAGGGATGTAGTGTTTCTTCCTCCCATTCCCGCCCTCCCACCCCCTCTCTCATCCCACCTCCTACTCCCTCTATTATTCCATTTGCCATTAAGATTCATTTTAATTGACTTTATATACAGAAGACCAACTCTATACTAAGTAGAGATTTCAACAGTTTGCACCGACACAGAGCTACAAAGTATAAAGTACTGTTGAGGACAAGCTTTACCATTAACTCTCATAGTACACCTCATTATGGACAGAGGTACAACATGGGGAGTGAGTGCACAGTGACTCCTGTTGTTGATTTAACAACTGACACTCTTATTTATGACGTCAGTGATCACCCGAGGCTCTTGTCATGAGCTGCCAAGGCTAGCCTTTTGAGTCCACAAACTCCGTCAGTATTTAGACAGGGCCATATGCAAAGTGGAAGTTCTCTCCTCCTATCAGAGAAAAGTACATCCTTCTTTGATGGCTCCTTCTTTCCACTGGGGTCTCATTCACGGAGATCTTTCATGCAGAACTGTTTTTGCCACTATGTCTTGTCTTTCTATGCCTGAAATGATCTCATGGTAGCAAAATAAACTTTTTTTTTTTTGACAGGCAGAGTTAGACAGTGAGAGAGAGAGAGAGAGAGACAGAGAGAAAAGTCTTGCTTTTTCCGTTGGTTCACCCCCCAAGTGACTGCTATGGCTAGTGCGCTGCGCCAATCTGAAGCTAAGAGCCAGGTGCTTCCTCCTGGTCTCCCATGTGGGTGCAGGGCCCAAGGACCTGGGCCATCCTCCACTGCACTCCCGGGCCACAGCAGAGAGCTGGACTGGAAAAGGAGCAACCGGGACAGAACCGGTGCCCCAACTGGGACTAGAACCTGGGGTGCCAGCGCCACAGGCAGAGGATTAGCCAAGCGAGCCATAACACTGGCTGCAAAATAAACTTTTAATTCCATTTTCCATAAACTTTTTACAGCACCCTCCTATTTTATAGCTGCTGTAAGTAGTTGCTATTCTCTATTGGTTGGGGAATAGTGACAATAAAAAGGTGTCTGCATATATTCAGTACTGAACAATGTTTTCATCAATATATTAGAACTGAAGCTGGTTAAATCCAAGGATGTGGAATCCCGGATACCAAAGGCAGGTGGTCTTCTAATTCTCCGTCCCTTGCTGTTCCCACTTCTCCACTGCCGCTTCTGTTCTATGTGTTGCTGTTCTGTTCTGGCTCCACCAGCACTGTTATCCATGGCTTCATCACCACCGCCACAACCACTACATTTATTTGATGGCTTTTATTTAGGCATTCTCTCATTATATCATTGACACCTGACAGTCCTGTGAGGTGTGCAGTGTCATCACCCCAGCAGCGAGGAAACTCAGCACAGAACCGCGGCACAAGTTGTAGGTGAGAGGCCGTGACTTGGGTGGTCTGACCACAGAGCTCCTTGCTGACCTTCTTATGGTAATGTCCTTTGTGAGCACTGATACAGGAAACCCTGGTTTGTTGACTCCTAGACACCTGTGAATACTGTGTTGTATTTTAAAATCAATTATGTTTGACGTCTTCATTTTCATAGGATTTGGGGCCTCTCATAGAGGAAAAGTGGAATAGGTCTCCTTTTCTTCTTATGAAATGGAATGAACAAATATCCAAGGGAAGAAAGTTATAATTTGGTGACACAGGTGCAGTGCTGAGAGGAGCAGGAACATTTGTCTCTCTGTCGGAGGCTCTGTTATGGTTTGATGCCAGTGAGGCAGGAGGATGGTGATGCATACTCGGTCCCTGATTAAGGGCCTACGTAGAAGAGACGATACATAAATGCGAAGGTG